ATAGAGCGTAAAAAGTTTAGCATTTGTACCAAGTTTAGAAAATATTTACAAAAATGTGTCATCAGGACTTCACTTTTGACACCCTGTATCTCGGAAACAAAACGTTTTCGGACCTATGTTTATATAAACTTTTACTCCAATTTTAGGATGTGGATTGCGCTGTTAAAACATGACCGTCTAATTTCGGAACACCCTGTATAACTAAATAAGTTTCAATTTTTATTTTTCATGCATATTCTAAATAGCTCAAATAATATTTACTCCAAAATTTAAATGAAAAAATAATAACCTAATTTAAATTGACTTATTTGCGGATCATTATACGCATTTGGGTTGTTTTGAAATATTTTCCAATGTCGATCATCCAAAACATGAGATGTTTGTCTTCTTTTAATAAATGGCTTCGGCTACCTACTTCGGTAAATAAAATATCACGTTTCGTTCAAGGGTGTAGGTATCTATTAACTGTGTAGGGGAGCGATTACTGATTATGTCCTAAAATTCCAACAAAAATAATAAATATATATTTTTCTTGTAGATATAAAAAAATATATATTCATTTTAATATTATGTATAATAATACAAACCGGATTTCCCACAAATGACTATCCATATTGTGATTCAAAAGAGGTAAGATACGCCATTTTTTTGTTGTGTGGCGGATACCCCTTTATGGCATCCCCCTACTGCCTCATGCGTACCAAGATAAAAAAATTAATGGAGAATGTATTGGATGTCCAAATTTGACATACCGATTTAAATTGACCGCCATTTTTGGTAATCTTCATTGACAGTATTTTTATGGTGATATATGTCGAGTAAAAACTTTGCGGATACTTGTTTTTGGACAACATGGAACAACTGTCCATCGAAAACTCAGTTTTTATTGTGAAAACTTATTACCAAAATGGGGAATGTTTTGCTGAAACTGCAAGCAGATGCCTTAAGCATTTCGGAAGAAATTTAGCACCATCTGTTAATGTTATTGAGAGTTTTATGAAGATATTTTAACAGCAGAGTATGGGGTGAAGAAAATCCAAGAGAAATATTGGAAAAACGACTGTATCCAGTAAATGTGACTCTGTGGTACGGTGTTTGGCCTAGTGGCGTTATTGGCCCTTATTTTTTCCAGAATAACGCTAGTGATACAACACGATACAGGACAATGATTACGAGATTATTTGTGGAACGAATTAGAAGATATGGATGTCCAGAACATGTGGTTCAAGACGCTGCCACTTGCCACACATCGGATAAAACACTAACTCTTTTAAGGAAGAGATTTGGCATTCGAATAATTTCTAGAAGAGCTGAGGTTAATTGTCCGCCTAGGTCGTGCGACCTTACATCATTGGATTATTTCTTGTGGGGCTTTTTGAAGGGAAAAGTATATGCTAATAACTCTCAAACACCTGAACAGCTTCGAGTTAACATTATTCAAAAATCTCGAAAATTTTGTAAAAAGAATGTTAGCATGCTAAAGAAGCAGAGGGGTCACATGCCGGATATCATTTTTCATTATTAACAGTAACATTTAAACTTCAAAATAATACAACAATATTATATAGGACTTTTTGTGTTTTATTATTAAATTAAATCCGAAGGTCAAATTTGGACACCCTTTACTATAGAAAAGGTAATTTTATAGTTCTTTTTTGTTAGTATTTTATTCTTCTAGGTTTGATAGATAGTTTGTTGTTTTACAGTAACCTTATTTTTCTAGTTGTGCAAGTGGAACCTGTACGGCAGAGTATATAGTTCCCAATCTAAGAATCGCCAATTTTACTATTTTCACCGAGGGGTAAACCACTCCCGAAATGCTGGTACGTTCTCACTCGAAATCACTACAAATTTTCTAGAAAATTGCGAAATCGTCATCTTCTGTATTAAAACACAAGGAAATAGTCCAAAAAAGGTCATCGTATAAAATTAAGGTGAATTTTCGACGAAATCATATACTAAATTTTTAGGTGATTCCAAAATACGGGTACGTTTTAACATTAGTCGTTATTTCCACGATTTCCACCTCTATTTTGGATATTTTTAGGGTGAATTCTGCAGGTCACATCTTGGATCAAGAGTCGAAAAATACATTCAAGAAAGTTTTATAAAATTCTAATGTTCATCTACGCCTCTGATGTATACAACCAAAAGCTTTATTTTCGGTTAAATGTGCTCCCTAATAATAGATTAATGCTTTACAAAGAGTAGCCTAAACTGTTTGGACGTAACATGTCGACAACAACAAGAACTTAACCGCCAATCTCTGCTCTAGATAATAACTCATTCTAAAAATATACAAAATGCATAAGTAAAACGAGCTTTCGATAAAACGATAAAACCAATGTTTGTTACTTACTACAACGGAATCTTTTCGAAGAAATGTTATCGAAATTCCAACGTATTATATTCCTACAGTTTGTAGCGAAAGTAATCTAAGCTTTTTCATAAACATTTTCAAAAGACAGAAGAATATTTTATCTACAGTAGTAGAACAAGTGGCATAACAAAAGTTTAAACATTTTCAATTATTTGTTTGCAAATATATGTACAGGGTTTTTACATTATAGGGGTGGTGAAATTAATTTTATTTCATAAAACTTCATCTCGAAAAAAAGTTTTGATATGAAATAAAGTAAGGATCGCTAATTTCATCCCCCTAAAATGTAACGGGAATATTGAAAAAATACCCGTGGTTAGTCCTTTGCGAGTACATGAAAATTACTCAAATTTACTCAAAATTTAAAAAAAAAATAAAAACTCAATTTTAGTCACCACTTTTTAAGGGTGATATCTCGGAAAGGGGTGGGCTGAGGAAATTTTGTTATAGGAAAGACCCATCTTAATTTCATACGAGCAATCACCTCCTGAATTTTGTCGCACGAATTTAGAAACACCCTGTACATACGTGTCTTACACAGATACAGGTGTATTAGAAGTAAAGACTTTGAATGCACTGAAACTGAGATTATATTCTATTTAATCATACAGAGTTGATGAAAAAAATGAATTTTATTTACGGATATTAAAAAAGGATGTGTAAAAATGTAATGTTATCGCCCCTATTTTTTTTTTTTTTTCGATTTATGGCCTAGGTGTATAAACCTAATATGCTAGTCTCAGTTTGTATTTAAATTCTCAATCATGTGTGTTCTGTGTAGGCTTTGTTACTGTTTCCCAGCGCCACTTCAGGAACAGCACTGTTAATTAGAACCCAACAGTGAATGGTCGAGTGGGGAATCCTACCAAGGCATCAGAATTAATTTTAAATAATTAAATTAAATAAAAAAATCCCGGCCAACGGTGGGATTCGAACCTGGGACCCTTGGATCCACAGGCAGAGACTCTACCACTGAGCCACCCACCCCCCATCGCCCCTATTTAAATTTAAAAAATGGTATATAATCAAATATTTTATACAAATAAATAAAAGTTTCTTGGTATTTGTATAAAATTCTACTACGGTCAGGAAATTATCTTTGTTCAAAAATAATCAAAAGTGTTTCAATTTATATAAAAGCTATTCAACCTATAACACATCAAGTTTGTTTTAGCATTTCTCAAACATCCATTTTCCTGGGAGTATTTCAATATTCATTCGTTTTCAATGGCTCACCCTGTACGTAGAAAAGTGATCCGTTATTCTTCAAATGTATTTCATTTACTCCAAAATACCATATTTTTATCCGGAATTGCCAGGTGATATTAAATTATACGTTGTACGCGACAAGTAGATAGTGCCAACATCTGGAGACAATAGGACTGAAAGATTTATTTATGAAAGTCGTATATCTCACGCAACTGCAGTTTGCATAACATATTTCAATTTTAAATTGCTTGCTTTTTGTGTGTCTTGCATAAAATGGTTTGTGTCCATTATTAATTTAATAATACATCGGAAATATCAGAAGGTACCATGCCTAAATTTAACGAAATACGCATATTTAAATTAGTTTTTGAAATTTTGGATAAAATAAGTTTAAAATCAGAAAAAGGTATAGACTATTTAATAGTTAAAAATACAAAAAACATAAAGGGATAAGTTACTTAGCATGGCAGAAGGATACCACCCAAAGAGTACCTCACTTTATCGATGGTTTTTCATTTATATACAATTCATTTATAACTTGATTTTGATTTGATTAATGACCAACACATGACTTTTCTGTAAATTTATCAAATATTTTGATAGCGGTCCATCTATACCGATTTTTTAAGTGTTAACTTTTTCCCTTCTGTACCAAATAGCTTTTTCCAATATTTCAAAAAGGGCTGCTACCCCATCAAACCAACTTAGACCCCTCGTAAAGAAATCAGACTATTATTAAATTATTCTAATATTATTATCTAGTCGTATACACCGATTTTTAAAGTGTTAACTTTTCCCTTTTGTACCAAATAGCTTTTTACAATATTTCACCCCTTCGAACCAACCCTCCTAAGGAAATCAGACTAGTCCCAAATTGTTTAGAGTTATTATTATTTACTTGTATACCGATTTTTAAAGCACTTTTCCTTAAATTTCTTCATTACTGCCGATTACAGAGATAATGTATGATACAAATTATAAAGAATTACATCTCAAACATATCTTATTCGAGTATCCGTCCCTCCCCCCCAGTTGTTCTGACTATGCCCAAAATCTAATCTGCTCACTGCAGGATGGATTAGGGCTTAAGATTTTCTCTGTATTCGTTTTTGAGTTAGCATAGATACAGACATCACCACGAAAATGATCAAAATGGATTCAGGGAACACCTAAACGTAAAGCACCGTTGAAAAAAATGATGATTCCTATACTTTCCCTATCTGTTACAGGGAACAAAACAGCGAACATCTTAAATATAACACAAGTACAATAACTTACAATAATTTAATCTTACCTCACTAAACAACCATTATCAAACTAGTAGAAAGACTGCTACTAAATAAATAATTATTTTAATGAATAAAGAATGATTGAATGACACCGAGAATAAAGACGATTATTAAAAGGATACATATATTATGTCGTTCTCATAGCGAATTTTGAGATTTTTGTTAATAACTTCTTCATCCAGAACAGTGAGGCAGGTCATATCAGGAACCCCATTTTCAGGAACGGTTCCTGTAAAAAAAATATTATAAATTACACAAATGTAGTAAAAATAAAAAGTATCGCATTATTTCAAAATATACAGGGTGGCTCACGCTCAACGGGACGGAGCTTTATGGGAAAACGACCAAAGAAATAAAAAATTCGTTTGGGAGGAATACGTAGGTTACAGACGGCTACAATTTAAAATTTGTTAGATGTATACAGGATGTCCCACATAAATGAAAAAAAAATAGTTCATTAAAAATTATTCAAACAAGAGTAAACAATTAATTTCTGGGATACTTTTTTTCCTTAAAAATTCAAATAAATCGAAAACTAATAATAATAGTAATAGGGAACCTTTAGTTAACTGACATTATTTTTGATGTAGTTTTTAATTCTAAAATAAAAAACAGGGTGTTCCAATAAAAATAATATAACTTTGTATATTTTCTCTTATGTGGGACATCCTGTATACATCTAACAAATTTTAAATTGTAGCCGTCTGTAACCTACGTATTCCTCCCAAACGAATTTGTTATATCTTTGGTCGTTTTCCCATAAAGCTCCGTCCCGTTGAGCGTGAGCCACCCTGTATATTGATAAGGGAAATTCCCAGATAACGAAATTTAAAATTATTATGTCAAAATTAAAGTTAGCAAAGCTGGACGATTTAGAATCTAGAAAAATATTTTTGTGAAATCATCAAGGATGTTTTTGTTTGGATTGTTGGAATGAGAGATTGTCATGAGAGATTGTCATGAGAGATTGTCATGAGAGATTGTCATGAGAGATTGTCATGAGAGATTGTCATGAAAGATTGTCAACTATTAGGAGATTTACATTTGGCGAATATTGGATAATACCGCCCGATATAAGAAAGGTACCTCTCCGTGACGTAGGTTGGCTGACGAACTAAGAGTGGCCTATCAATTTAGTGGGACAACCCACCCTTCACATCTTACAAATACAGAAGTTTTCAAGATGTTTGTATGACTCTCAACTAAGAATATTCGCCTTTTGGACATTATTTAGTCCATAGTTTTGTCCCATTCGCCATAAATATATTCATTTTTCAAACAGCCTGTATATATACGAAACATAATATTATATTGTCCGTGCTTGCATAAATTATATCACAATAAAATCGTATCATAAAATTTGTCATAAAGTTCATTTCCTAATGGATAATAATGCAGACAGGGACCCACAATGTCACCTGTTTTAGAGAGAGCCATAAAGGTGCGGATAAATATAAAAGCCCCTTCTCGAGCAGATGGTGTTCTGATCACTCGAATAATAATCTTATTGCCCTCTAGGCAGACTCACCCAACCCGAGTTGTGGAGTGGTAAAATGGGCAAACGGCGGCACGTGTCTGTCAAGTCTTAAAACATCTGCCACCCGCTTTTACTTTTCTTATACCCTCGAATGCACTGCCTATTTCGTGCAGGTAGTTTTTGCAGTAGCAGATTTAGACAACATGTGCATCATTTCAAAATGGGAATAGGGAAGGAATTTTGAAAAATTAATGGTGTAGTAAAAATAAACAAGGCGTTTCTTATTTATTATTCTAGGAAGACATTTTTTCAGAACATGAAATTTAAGTAGAAAATTAAAAAGGATTAATCTAAATAGATAAATGTCTTAATATTCTGGATAAGTTTAACATAATTATATTAAAAAATATCTTTAACTTTTTTATAATTTAATGTATGTAAGATATTAATACCTCATTTAATATAATAAGGAGCAGCTTTAAAATTAATTATCTTAGAAGACATATAAATATGTTGTTTTTATATAAAATAAATCTTATATCGTGTGTCCTACATATGCAAAACTTTATTATTCATTTTAGGAAAAAAGGTATTTTTCATAAAAAGTTGTGCATGGCCTGAAACCCAAAATACAATCATCATTCATCAGATATCAAGTTTTTTTAGTCGTATACGGGGTTTGACAAAAAATGTGTTTTGGCTCAAGAGTAAAGTACCTTTATTTTTAACAAACTTCGTATTCGACTGATAAAATTTGATATCAGATGGTTTAATTTTGGTTTTTAGAACAGGCACAACTTTTTATGAAAAATAACTTTTTTTCCTAAAATTAATAATAAAAAATTATTCGTACAAAATAAAATCAACCTGTACCAGCGTTTTTTTGTGGAAAGTTTTTGGTGGTACACCCTGTATATCAAGTGGTTGACCGAATTTGACTAATTTATTTATTATACAATTATTGATTACATTACTAAATACCGTTGAAATAAGGACTATTATAACTTGTTAACTATCAACCTTTTAATATGTACAGAGTCCTCAATAATACCCGTATCCCAGGTGGTTTAGTAAAACAAGAAAATTAATAAAAAGTATCATTTTTAATTACTTTTATGACAACTTAAGTAAGGAAATTGTTTAAGAGTTGCTACTGAAGTTATTATTGTAATGTTTAGCCAACTGATGACATCAGTTTAGTCACGTGGGATACGGGTATTGTTCCCGAAGGTATTTACCAAATTGTTTACTTCGATGTCAGAATTCTACTACTGCTCTGGGTACAATTAAATATGGGACTTATGGGACACCTTGTACTTAGATCATTAGGTCAGAACTGTGTCAAGCAAATTAAGTAGGTACCTACCCTATTTTAATTTGCTAGTTTTTTTATAAAAGGGCGGATTTAATAAGTTTCAAATGTGTCTATTTTGAAATAAACTTAAAAATGCCAATGAGATTGCACTCTCAAAATTTGAAATAACCCTAGACCTAAGTACCATAATGACTTTTATATTCCACAAACTTCCAGTAATAGTGGAAAAAAACTCTAGAGTGTGTTGAACGTTTATAAACATTAAATACAATGCCAATAAGTACCTGTTTACATGTGAAAAGTGCTTATTCACATGGTAAACTTTTTACTATTAGTTTTATGAAAAAAGTTATTCCTCATAAAAAGTTCTGCAAGGTCTAAAACCCAAAATACAATCATCAAATATCATTTTTTTTTTCAGATATTTACGAGCTTTGTCGAAAAATATCAATTTTATGCAACAGAAAAACCCTTTATTTTTAACAATATCGAAAATTATTATTAAGAATTGAAAACTATTGTCAAATGTTCAAAATTTTCCATGTATATACCATCCAATATCAAATATTATCCAGCTACCACAGTGCTATAAACAACTTTAAAAAACAAAACAGGCGCCTGATCATCTAAATTCTAAACATTGGCCGGCCGCGAAAAAAATTGCGCCGTAATATGCACTAAAACAGCCGACCGCAAGACGTATCCATAGTGACGCGGACCTCTATATTGCTGCGGCCGACGATAGTCCAGTCAAAGAGCTCAAATTGTTATTATAGGAAGGATTTGCAGGGGACATAATAAATAAGATTCATAGCATGTGTCGAGACGATAGAAAAAATTATAAAATAAACAAATAAATCATATTTTTAATTAGGTTTTTATTATCTGATATCTCTTGTATTTTTAGAAGGAGCGTGCGGCCTTAAAGAGTAGCTGCCTCTGAGCTACAATGAAAAACAATCTTGAACACTCTTTCGCATAAATACGAATTACATTTAATTTTACAAATTATAACACTGTTTTTTCATGGACAATATTGGATATCTAATGGTATTTAGGGATTTTTTTTTATTTAATTTAATTATTTAAAATTAATTCTGATACCTTGATAGGATTCCCCACTCGACCATTCACTGTTGGGTTCTAAACGCACGCATCACCCATGAGAAAATTGTGTAAACGTACACACCCTATACTTCGAGTCCGTCGGCGGAAGCGCGTCTTGAAAGAGCCGGTTCATCTTCCAATAGGTTTGCCTGCTTTGCCGCGACAGTAGTAGTCAGTCCGTTTGGAAACGAGAAATACGGTCGAGAGGCAGCGATTTTTACGTCGCTTTATGCATATTGCAATTCGCACCGCGAATCGACGTGTGAGGAAAATCGTAGATTTCGGTTTGTTTTTCGTGGTTGGTTTTCTTTTTGTAAAATGGAGGAATTATGCACTGTGTCTGTGAACAATAATAATGTGGTAAATTGTGTCTGTATTGTGTGCTCTTTGTTGAAAAAAGGATTTTCAAGTAGAAATTTTGAAGAGAAAACGGACATTCTATCAATTTAGAGACGAAAGTAGAAAAGTGAGCAAAGACATTTACCAGGCATTTTCACGTAGGGTTCTATGAAAAGTATGAATGGTTAACCGGCTGCAAAACTTTGAAGAAATTGTTTTACTGGCCTTGCCTACTTTTTAATATAACCGAAAAAACACATTGGAACTCAATAGGTATTACAGACTTTAATAATTTTCACAAAAGTGTAAAACGACATGTAAATAGCAAATCGCATATATCTGCTACAATTAAAGAAAAAATATTCGGGACCTATCGCATTTGGACAAGCATTTAAAAATAAGCAACAACATTCACAATGAAAGGGAGGTCTTACAACGATTAATAGATGTAACTTGTTTCCTGGGAGAGCATGAACTAAGTTTTAGGGGTCACAATGAAGCAAGTGGATCCGCCAATCGAGAAAATTACATGGACCTTCTAAGTTTTTTAGCAAAATACGATGATACCCTAAAAAATCATTCCATTGATTCGACGACTTTCCGAGGTACCTCAAACAGAATCCAAAATGATTTAATTAAGTGCACTGCCGACGTTGTGATGGATCACATTAAAAGTGAAATTAAAAAAGCACCTTTCGTATCAATTGCGCTTGATGAAACCACAGATGTAGCAAACTTAAGTCAATTATCCATTGTTGTGCGATATATATTGGATGACATTCCTCAAGCTAAAGTGAAAGAGAAGTTTAACCATGCAATTTTCGTTCACTGTATAGCACATAGACTTAATATGGTTTTATCGCGAAGCATGGATAATATTAAAGATTGCAAAGTTTTCTTTTCGACGCTTAGTGGTTTGGCTTCCTTCTTTTCAAAGTCTTCGAAAAGAACTCGCGCTTTGGACATTCACGTTCAAAAAAGGTTTCCAAAAGTTGCTCCGACATTTTTGATAATATTTTACAACAAATGAACTTTCGATTTCAAAACTTTATTAAAATTTGTTGAATTGTGCAATTTTAATATTAGTAACTACGATTCATCAAATTTCCATCGGAAGCTTTTAATTCACTAAAATTAAATTATGGAATTTTTTTCGATATTCCAGCATTAAAGTCCCAGTTAAGTGTTGTTTATGAAACAACTGAAATTAGTGATAAAAAGACGCCCATCAATGTGTTAAATTTTCTTATAATAACTGGTTTAAATAAGTCCCTTTGTGAAGTCGTCAAGTTGTGTGAATTAGTACTAACCTTCGCAGCCACAAGTGCGTCAGTTGAGCGAAGTTTTTCAGCTTTAAAGCGCATTAAAAGTTTTATACGAAATTCAACAAGTGAAGACAGACTCTCTAATTTAGCCCTAATATCCATTGAAAAACAGCTTGTTAAACAGTTAACAGAAAATCCAAAATTTTACGACGATGTTATAGACAAATTTGCAACAATTGAGGATAGGCGAATAGATCTTAAGTATAAATAAATGTCAACTGTGCGAAAAATGCGGGAAAAAATAAAAAAAACTTCAGTTAAATGTTTTTTTTACGTTTAAATAAACCAAGGAAGCTTTTCAATGGTAAGTTTTTTTATAGCTTCTAGTACTAAACTAGATAATAAAGTAATAGTAACACTTCAAAAATATCAATCTCGAATATCCGTAGTACTGAGGAAAAAAAAGCAAGATTTTGACAAAATGGTGAATGCGCCGCGAAAAAATTTCTCCTGCGGCGCTGTGCTTACTGGCCTGGATGTATTTTTATAAAATCGCTTCCCCTTCCAAAAATGTCACCGCACGCCACTGCTGTCAAGACTATTTATTTTCTTAAAGTAAAAAAACCGACACCCTATAAAGTATCCCCCAAATGTTTCGACAATGTCCAAAATTTAACAAGCTCACAGCTTAAGTTTAAAATTGGGTGTTTTTCTCTTTATACGTTTTTAAAGTATCTTCAAAATTCGAAATTTGTACTTTCCCTCAAATACTTATGGTTAATTTTAGGAAAATCATGTATAGAAGAATTATAGAGAATGACATCACACTTTTATCATGGTTTACTTTGTATCCTGTAGAATAAAGATAAGTTCTTGAGTAAAAGTCATAATTTTCGACAGACGTCATAAATGACTGAAAACAAATTAATATCTGATAGTTGTAGGTAGGTATTTTAGTTTTTAGAACATGCTTGATATTTTATGAAGAATAAATGATTTTCATAAAACTAATAATAAAAAAGTTTTCCATATGACGAAAGGGGGCGTCCATTAATTACGTGAGGTATTTTTGAGGATTTTTTGACACCTCCTCTCCCCCCCCTGGTGAGATTTCGTAAGATTTTCCTCAACTCCCTCCCCCTCACCTAATCTCACGTGAGATTTTTCAAAATATATGTTTTGGGTGTAAATGTGTTGGATTATTAAAAAAACAAAAACACAATATGTTCCATTACTTTTATTTAAGACTAGCAAAAGACTAGTATTTGAGAAGATTGCCGTAATATAAAATTTCTAGAAACATTAGGTCAAATGAATAAACGAAAAGCAATGCTTTTACTTAAAATTGTTGAAATGGACTTATGCAGAATTAAAAAAACAAAACAGAAAGCTACTAAGGTATGTAAGCATTTGCTTCCTTTTATTCATCTGACTCATTCTTTACTTTAACTTTACTGTCATGCAATTTTACACCTTTTCTACTAGAAAAAAATTACGTCAGATTTACAAAGACCCCCCCTCCTCTCCCTTGAATTCCTCACGTAATTACTTATTAATGTTTTTATGCACTATTTTATTATTGAGTGTAAACAGCAAATTGTTAAATATTGGAGCTTTAGTACCTATATAGTTTATTTTTTAACAATTATGCGATCTTCGCCTTCCTCTTCTTTAGGATAGGATTAGGTCTCGGATTAGGTACACTTTTTTATTGGCTACCTATAATTTTTTATATAGATTTTTCATTAAACACAATGTTATGGCTGTTTTTAAAAATATTTTTTTGTATATTAAAATGAATCAGAGGTAGGTATTTAAATTTCTCTAGATTAATTGAACAAATTTACAAAAATAAAATTAAACTTCAAATTTACATGATTCTACATGCTACCTAAGTATACCTACCTAGGTAGTTTTCACTTCCTTCAATTAAATTAATTGACGAATTTGTTTTAGATGTACGTAAAAATACATAGGTATAGGTTTAGTACCCAGGTACCTAATGTGTCTACCTCCATTAAAAAAATAGGGTTTATATTTTTTGATAAATTAATATTAAAAATTGTTACACCTAATACTGAAATACTTAATTTTAAAATAATACTGTGACTCAACCCAGTAATACAATAATTAATTTTTTAAAGAGTCTAACATGTGTGGCCCTTTTTGCCTATTACAAGTAATTATGCAAATATTTACAGAAGTCACTTGATATTTTTATTAAAATTTTTACATCAAATAGCAAGCTTATTTAATCTGTTTTTCTAAAAATTAAATTAATATTCAATTTATATCCCCGCAAATTCATTTCAAAGTGCAGACCGAATTTCTAAACAGCTGAAGCATGCAAAATATCAATAAAAGGTACCCTTACTAAAGGGTGGTAGCAAATTAATAGTTTTTGCACCAGAACGTACCCGTAGAAGAAAAATCCAGCTCAACCATGTTTTATATTTGTTCCAGGTACATTATAACACAATTTTTCATTCAAGAATTTAATAAAAACAACACAAGTCCAACTACATTGCTAGTTCATATTTAGCGTAAAGAAATACAACACAACTGTCAAACCTCCTATGACCGATCACTGACTGACTAATCCGTATTCCGAAATACACGGAATCCCGATGCCGAGACGTGCAAGAACGAAACCACAGCAAACTCCGCACAGCCCACAAATGAGCGACCCAGATGGTGTATTCTTGGTTGCATACCTTTCTGCTTTCTGTAAACAGATGATAGGGTAAATGTCTGTAGTTTATCTAAAAACTGGCTCTTATTTTTATATAACGGCTAACACAATAATCCTAAAATAATGCATTTAGAAAGTAAGGGATTTTGACCATTTTGGTCAATATCAAAATTAGAAGATAAGCCTGAGCATCTCTAGAACAATGATGTATATAGTTATATAGATTGCTCACCCATATGTAAAGTAGGACTCGGAAAGGGAGTCGCAATTGAACAGAACCGTTCTGGCCCAAATGTGTTTTTGAAATAAAATTTCAGCATTTGTATATTTAGAAAAAAAGAAACATTACTTTAATGTTTACCTCAAGACGCGATATTACGTTAGGTATATTTAAATCATTTTTTTTTTTGTATTTTTAAGTTGAATATCCATACAGGTAGTCAAATATTATTAAAATGAGGTATCTAAACAACTTTTATGAGATACAAACGACTTTGGTTAGATATGTAACTAAAATATTTGACTCTTATCTTTTATTCTAAGTAATTTTTATTGTTACTAAAAGCTTAATGAACGTCACTAGATTTTTAACATTTTAAAATGTGTTTCAATCTCTTTTGACAATAATTGTAATGTCTTAATTATGCGATGAATGAGAATTAGTTAATTCAAAATAAAATAAATGGGAAGGCAATAATAATCTTTCTTTTGTGAAAAATCTGTCTACAAGGAAACTCAATAAATTTATTTTAAGAGAAAAAAGTAGATCTTTCCAATAGGGGCGGCTTGTGACCAAAATTTTGGGGGTTCACAGTAGCAGAATATAGATCCCGGTACAGATATAGGTAAAAAACTGTCCGTGATTTAGAAAGGTATATTATAAACTTTCTAAAACACTGAAAGTTTCTCATACATCTGTACTGATACCTATATTCTGTCACTGTGACCCACCCCACGAGCCGCCACTGCTTTCTAATTTACTATATAGTTGCCTAAAATTGCTACAAAATGTTTTAATAGTAAATTTCAATTTTACTAATAGGATAGTGTGTAAGTCGTAGGTAAAATAAAATAAGTGTATATTTTTTCGTAATACTCAAGAAGTTGCCATGTATAACGTCAAAATTCCTAATAATGCCAAAATCATATTTTTAATTCTTGACTTGACGCGTCCTAACAAACATTTTGTGTAGGATAATAAAAGGCCCAATATATATGTTACTTTGCAATTGTAATGATGGCCATTTAAATTTTATAATTAAATGGCTGGTATATATAGAGGTCACTACGGCCTACAGCCGAAGTCACTTAGCCGTCAAATCCAGTTGAGTATGTAGTAAGCGATCATCGGTGTCTTCATGTATGTACGTGGGACGGAGCCCTCCTAGACTGTTGTAGTTGGGCCTGCGGCAGTTAAAAGCCTTTTTAATTTGACCATGCTTTTACCGATTACAGTTACTTACCCTTCATAAGGCCATCATCAACCAACATAATGCTGAGCCACTATCAAAAGGCCAAAAGTAGGCTTTTATCATCGCATTCATTTCCCATTCAATTACAGCAAAGGATCAGCAATATCCCGGAAATTCATTATTTGTTGGGGGTAATAATTTAACAAATAATATCGTTAGAATACAATTTGAACACACAATAGAAAGGTTTCTATAAATGAATAACTAGCTATATAAGTAACAGTTGTACGTTATTCACTAAATCTACTTATCTGTATTTGTAACGTATGGAGGTTACCCCACGGCACTTAGGCCTCACCTAGGCCCATTATGCATCCTCATAAGATGATAGGCACCTCCTAGCTCGTAAGGCAGCCTACTAAATCTACTTAAAAATAAATACTTTTATCAAATCTATTTAATTACACTGATGATATTATAAAAATATAACTATTATTAATTATACAGAACAAAGTTCTCTTGATTATTGAGTAAAAATAGTTTTATTGATTATTATTATCCATTATAAACATTATTATAATACATTCCAGTTTCATATAGTAACTACCTAGTGTCAATTAACATGTATAAAATATCAATTATTTGTAAAATTACATTTACTATTCATAAAATGTAAAATCTGAATGCCAACGAAATACTATAGATTTGTTCTACGATCACTATACAATTTAGCCTTTTGCTTATTCAAATCTAACCGGAAAGTTAACGTTTTCTGCGATTTGTCATAATTTGACATTATTGGTGTTCTAGCGGGCCAAAGCTTCTTTTTTCGCTTGCTTATTTTCAGTAGTCACCATCTGAATATTTTGGTTGAATATCCATGTTCAAACCCATTTCTCTTAATATTTAAACGATATCATTGAAATAACAATAGATTACCCCGTTTTAAATTTACAGGTAAGTAGACAACACAACATACACATAACACAAGCTTGGCTAGAGGTATCTGTCAAATAAAGATTAAAGTAAAATTTAAATTTGGTAATCGTGTGATCATAGAAAATATTCGTGTGTAATTTGAGAGGAAAGCTATTTACCGCTTACGATAAATCTCAAGTGGCAAATTAGCACTTTCCGCTCCTAATACACAAAATAGCTAATAATTTCTAAATCGGATCTGTAGTTTATTTACAACCGAGTACTCAAAATTGAGACAAAACATCAACATTGCATGTATTAGATAAAGAGAAAACTTCGCCCAATGAAATCCTTTTTTTCGTCGTCTGATTTACATATGGATGAGTATTCTATATTACTATATATCATTGCTTTAATTTGCTTCGTTCATTTGCTGCATCGATGGGATTATTTGCAAGGAGAAAAGTGGTAACTTTCACAAATAAAAACGAGATAGATATATCCAATTAAACTGTCGCGTTAAAATAACGAACGTAGTGATTTTAGAGATAGATAAATAGATGACAAGATGACAATGACTTGTAGAGGTTAACTCATCTGAAAATAAATTCAAAATATTTTGCTTATTAATCTTCCAAATATACATTATTTATATGTAGAAATTATTGTGACAACGTTAGAATTATAAAGAACCACAATGAAAACAAGATTTAACACATACGATATCGTATGTGTTATAGCAGAATTGCAATCGTAAGATCATTTATATCTTTGTAAAAAATACGTTTCTAATCAAAAATTAACATATTTTAGATTTATTGGAATGAGGGTTAACAATATTTATGATATTGATAATAAGACTTATTTAATTAGGCTACAGAGAACTGAAGAAAAGCAAGTTCTGCTTTTAGAGTCTGGTAATCGTTTTCACAAGACTAATTTTGAGTGGCCGAAAAATGTTGCTCCCTCTGGTTTCAGTATGAAGGCAAGTATTTTTCATATTGATTTGCATTAAACATAGGGTATTTACTTAAAGATAATTGTATCCTATTATATATTCTTATGCTAGTTATTGTATAAATATACCTATTGAGATTAATGTTACTTAAATTGAGAAGTCCATTATAGGTGTTTTTTTGAAATAACAGTTTTGTATCAAGCATAATCCATAATATGTATAATACTTGAATTTTGCAGATGAGAAAACATTTGAAGAATAAACGTTTGGAATCGCTAGCACAACTAGGAACAGACAGAATTGTTGACCTTCAATTTGGTTCAGGAGAAGCAGCTTATCATGTTATTCTTGAGTTATATGATAGAGGAAATGTTATTTTAACAGATTATGAATATACTATTTTGTATGTGTTACGTCCACATACTGAAGGAGATAAAGTTAGATTTGCAGTTAGGGAAAAATATCCACAAAACAGAGCTAGAGATAGTGGTGTGATAAGTAAAGAAAAGTTGATAGAAGTATTAACAAATGCTAAGGCTGGAGATCAATTAAAAAAGGTCCTTGTTTCTAACTTAGGTAATAATCCATATTTTTCTATATTTACATATAAAATATGTTTTTCAATTTTAAGAATATGGACCTGCTGTTATAGAGCATGTTTTGTTGAAACATAGTTTTCCAAATTCTACAAAAATTGGCAAAAATTTCGATCCAATGGAGAACATTGATAAGATTATGGAGGCAATTAGAGACGCTGAAAATATTTTTCAAAATTCTAAATCCGGTCAAACCATGGTAAACTGAAATAAACATAATTTTGAAAATAATAAAAAATTTAAATTCTTTATTTTTCATAGATTGCTTAATCTGAAATTAGAAAATATTGAAAGAAAATTATGTTTTATTTTTAAAATTCTTTATTTTTGACAATAATAAATAATTTACATTATTAATATTCAGAGAGGTTGATTTTTAAGTTTTTAACAAGACCCATACATTAATGTAAGACATATGATATTTGTATTTTAATTTAAAGTAAAAATGTTCCAGTTATTAGTGGATGACAGATTTAAAACTTAACCACTTATTTTAACTCACTTTATCTACCTTCCCATAACTTTAATCAATTATATTTACTAGAAAATCATGCAATTTTTATAATTTTTTATATTTTATTTATCGAGAAATATTTTAGGGGTACATAATACAGAAAAAAGAAGAGCGCCCTACTTCAGACTCAAACACTAGCGATTTTTATTCTAATCAAGAATTCCATCCAATGCTTTTTGAGCAACACTCTGCAATGCCTCATAAAAGCTTTCCAACTTTCAATGAAGCTATAGATGAATTCTTTTCTTCTTTAGAAAGTCAAAAATTAGAACTTAAAGCTGTCCAACAAGAAAGGGATGCCATGAAAAAATTGGAAAATGTCAGAAAGGATCATGATCAAAGATTGGTAGCTCTTGAACAGACTCAGTCTGTTGATAAACAGAAAGCTGAATTGATCACTAGAAATCAGGAGTTAGTTGATAAAGCAATTTTAGCTATACAAACATTATTAGCAAATCAGGTAAGTCTTCTATTGCAAATGCAAATACCAATAATTAATATTCTTTCATTTCATATATAAATGGACATTATATTTTTCCTCCTATTTAGCCAAATATTTAAGGAAATTAATTATGTGTACCTACATATTTTATTTCTATTATTCTTTTACAATTTAGATGTCATGGGAAGATATCACAGAAATGGTGAAAGATGCTGCCTCAAAAGGTGATCCTGTAGCCAGTCAAATTAAAGGACTCAAACTTGAAATAAATCATATTAGTGTCTATTTATCGGATCCTTATGCAGATAGTAATGAGTCTGATGTTGAAAATGATGATAAAATTCCCTGCATGACTGTAGATCTCGATCTAGCATTATCTGCATTTGCTAATGCACGAAAGTGAGTAAATAATAATTAGTATTAAAAAAAGACATGCTCAAAAAACAAATAACTCTCTCTCTATGCTTAGAATTAAAATATTTATGCATATTCAATATTAAATTAACAGAGTTTCTGTCAGGAATATATTATTTGCTTAGTAACTTTTGCAAATGTCTATAAAAAAATCTAATTTTACAAAATTTAAACTTGAATGTGTTGAATTATTTTTATGTGGTTTATAATTTAATGAAAGAAGACTAATCCTATAGTAAAGTGTTTAAAATAAGAATAATAACAATTATTTTAATAAACATAAAAGCTATGAATACTAAGATGTCTTTATGCACTATTCGAATGAATCGTTGGAGTTTTTGCTTGTAAAAGAAAAAGATAATCAAATTTTAACAGCAATCTTTGAACAAAAATAATATTTTTAGTATTTCTTAAAAATGTTGGGTTCCTGATTTCCTAAAACAAAACATAGATATTAAAAAGCAATATCTCGAAGAATTTAGTTTTAGTGAGATATCAATAGAAAAGAAGTTGATAATTAGTAATTAAATGTTAACAATTTCGTCAAAAACACATTATTTATATCAAATATTTAATATTCCTATCAAAATTATAAAATTAAAAGTGTTGTTGTTATTTTATCTAGTCACATTTTTTTTAAATTAGCTAAATATTATTTAAGTTTATCTTGAAAGTGTTATTGGTTACTAATTATTTAGTATGAAAGATTATCCTTAGTCTCAAATATGGTAGTGTTATTCAAGTGAATAATGAAAATTCTAAATCAATGCCTCATAAATGTTTTATGCAGTTTAAAAGGTGAAACTAGTTTTGGCTAACAAGTCGTCATCAGGCAAAACAATTCATTTATGTATTGGATACGTTACAAACACTATAAAAAATTAATGGTAGTTATATGTAGAGTTAAGTAACGACAAGAAATTTTAAAACAAATACAGAACAACTTTAGTACAGTCCTCAACTTTCTTAGGCTAACATTAAAGATGTCTGGACCTCTCTAAGAAACTCATTGGTAACAGCCATCATCTTGTTATAAGGAAATAATGCTACTTGGTTACACTAAATAATTTTTTGTTATTTGGGATTCTTAGATTATTCTTTGGCACATTAAAATATATATAGTTAATCAAATCACAATCTTTGTTACTTAACATTATTTAAAATAGAGTACAAATATATCACAGCCTGTTGTTTTCTTCTTCGTAAAAGTAATTCAACCTTAAAGCTATCGAGCATAGTTTTATATGAGATCTTATAGGGGTATGAGTTGTTTTTTTTATTATATAAAGGTATCGTAAAAAATATTTTTTGTACTTTTTCAATATGATCAATATGTGTGGGAGATGTAACTACTAACAAATATCGTGCGACCCTGAATAAGACATATTCTAAGGGACATAGTAGGGTATAATATCCGCTGTTGTCATATTAGTAAAGTGTATGTATTAAAATATTCGCTCAAGAAAACGATTTACCTCCCACTCTTTTGTTACAAGCAGAATTTTTCACAGATGAAAGGTCATGATAAGGTAACCCTTATTCCGGAGGTAATACAAAATTAGACTGTACAGGAGGGCACTATCATCAAAAATCAAGATATTGGTACTACCGAATAGAGAAAAAAATACTCATTTTTTGCTCAAATGCACAATAGAATCTTTGTAGGGAGTAATTGTTTATACTTATTTAAAAAAAAATCATTTGCATTAGCCCTTACGAAAAAAAACATATGAACGTAAATATCTTGGTTTTAGCCCTTCAAAAATTTTGTTAAAAAGTCGTCTTTTTTAAATATACCACTTATTTAACAAAAAACGAAGATCTAAATGAAAAAAAAATTCTTTATAACATTTTTGACAAGCTAACAGAGTAAACACAATAAACGATGGGAGATGTCATAGGTTTACCCTGTAATTAATTCTCACCGCCAATTTTATCGACTTTCAGTGTATCTTTCTCTTCACCTTCAAACGTAGCATAGCTCTGTTTCTCTCTACTTGCCGGCTGATGTATCACATTATTGATATGGTAGGATTTTTTCTTTTTTTTAATATAAAACTTCTCGTTATGTTCCATTGGACAATGTGTCATATTGTTATCTATTTTTAGTAAAGAATTAATAAGTGTATGAGTTATATATTAAATTACCTAATAAATTGGGAAAAAATATAGACATTTTTGCATCTTTATTATATCTACATTCATCCTGTTGCAGCTGAATATATTTGGGTAAGTTATAAGTTTTCGTTTAAAATTTTATTTACGGATTTGTTGTTGCGAGTAGCAAAGACAAAAATGATATCAAAATAGGGAAGCCCAAAAGTTGCATATCATTTAAAGAATATGCACATATATTTGTAAACATTATTTTTAGAAATAAATTTAATGCTTAAATGATGGATGTGGTATTTGATCATTATAAAGGACATTCTATCAAAAATACAACACGTCAAAAGAGATCATCCCAGAAATCGCTTGATATAGAAATTGACGGACCCAATATTTCACTTCCGCAACAATAGAACTTGTTTATTCATTCGACATTTAACAAAAAACGTTTAACAAATTTTCTGCCAGCAGCGGCCCGTCAGGTGAAGTAGGTGAAGGGGCTCTTCACCAAAAATTTATAAAACACAAAAATTAAATAAAAATTACGAAACTTTTTAAATTATTAATTTATAACACTTTTGGCAGCTTCTATCTTTATGTTTTATAAATCTAAATATTTAAAAAATTAATCAAACGCTTCCTGTACAATATTCAATCTTTCCGCAGTGCAACTCTGCATTAATATGGTACCCCTAGTTAAAAATACAAACGATCCAACAAGCCGCGTCGCTGGCCGCTCTCCCGAAACCAAGTGAAAAGTAAAGTGAAGAGCCAGTATCAAAGCTTTGTCTTTGCTCTGCACCGGACTTTTGTTGACGTATGAAGGGCAATTTAAAAATAGATTATTAGTATGCATCTTTGTTTCGGCGACGCGCAAAGATATTTATATATGTATTTGGACGTTTTATGTGTTTATTGTATTTCTGTGGCCGTTGGTACAATCGGAAAATGTTGTGTTTATTGACGAGTGTATCGGTGAAGAGAAGTTTTTCATGTTAAAAAAGGTTAAAAACTTTTACAAGAAATACTATTTCGCAAGATAGACTTTCCAGTTTGACTGTTATCTCACTTCATAAAGAACTTTTGTTGGATCTTATGCGGCGACAACCTTTTTATGAGGATATTATTGATAGATACAAAAACTAGATAAATAATATTAATGAATCAATGTTGAAAGTGTTTCGGTTCTATTTGGTTAAGTAGCTCTTCACCATTTTTTAAAGCTGCGAGCCGCCACTGTTTTCTGCCAGAGCAACTTCTTCAAAACTCCATTCAGCAAAAGCATATTCAATTTGTAACTAATGGTGGATTCGCGATCAATAAATATGGGAAGAATTTTGAATCATCAAAAGACGATTTTTTAAATTCAAATCACAAAGACGCTGATAATCGTATCTTATTGCACATATTGTCAGCCAAAAATTCGGGGCATTCACGATGCATTATTTATTACAACGATACAGATGTTCTAGTCTTATTAATTTAAGAAGTTTTTGACTAAAGATATATGGTTCAGAACAGGGCGAGGAGACTCAAGACGATTTCTAGCAGTACATTATTTAAATTTGGATGAAAACCTTCTAAAAAATGTGCCTGCTTTTCATTAACCGACTTTAAAAAAGGAGGAGGTTATCAATTCGTCGCGATATGTTTTTTTTTTATGTATGTTCAGCGATTATTCTTTAACATGGTGTCCGATTTCAATGATTCTTTTTTTGTTGGAAAGGGGGTATTTCAGGGGTGGTCCCATATAAATTTAGTCAAAATCTAATAATTGGGTCCATGAGAAAATCCTCAAACTCTTCATTTTTTATGAATGTTCAGCGATAATTTTTTAACACGGTGTCCGATTTCAATAATTCTTTTTTTGTTAGAAAGGGGCTACTTTAGGGGTGGTCCCATATAAATTTGGTTAAAATCTAATAATTGAATCCATGAGAAAATCCTCAAACTCTTCATTTTTTATGTATGTTTAGCGATAATGCTTTATCACCTTGTCCGATTTATACGATTCTTTTTTTGTTAGTAAGCGGGTACCTCGGGGGGTGGTCCCATATAAATTTGGTTAAGATGTGACGTTTTTGAAGTAGGTTTTTTTAAATTTTTAATTTGTAATACTTGTTCTCTGACCGGTTGTGATACAACCAGCCAATTGTCCGGCATTGGGAGAAGAACCTGTTGGAAAACCTACCTTGAACACCATTACTTTTTGGATGGATTTGGCACTGATCAGTACTCTGAAAACATATTCTCTAATCTTGAAAGAATTTTCATAAAAATTTATTCAAAACTGCCAATGTTACTTCCATTAACATTTTGAGGGGATTATTGGCCTCTTCAAAAACCATTGCTAAATTGCCACCGACTGAAGACGCCCTAAGACTACATTGTTTAAGATGTTTTTACCAGCTAAATATTTGGCTAAGCTCTTTAAACCCAGATGCAGCTTCCTAATGTTGAAGAGTATGGATGGAAAGTAGATCAAGATGGAAGTCTGATACCCACTTTTAAGACTCTGCCCGACCTGCCACCAGACATAACAGAACTTACATCATGCAAATGCAAAAAAGATACTATATAATATTCTAACAATAATATTCTGTTCTAGACTGTGTAAGCAAAAATTTGCAAATGCAGGGAAAAACATATTTGCTGCATCGGTTCCTGCACCTGTATGGCACAGAAAAACTGCAGAAATAGTTTGACCACAGCCGCTAATGTTTTGGAAAATGTTGATTCGTGTGGTGAATCTGATTCTGATTAGTTTGAAAGTCTTGTAATTATAAATTTTAATATTATTAATTCATGCTTTATATTCTTCCTTTCAATTATTATTATTATTATTATAATTTATTTATATTGGGGATTTATTGTATTTTGCAAAGCAATAGCCTTACTGTTTATAATCGATACTTCAATAAATGGTTTATATTTTCTTATTTTTCATTTTCCTCCAAAAATAAAAAAAAATCTTGAAGTAATTAATACACCCTATTATTCATAGTGGATAAATCAATAATCCCTGTATAAAATAATATAAGAGAGTCAAACTGATTGCGTACATTTCAATACTGAGAGAGATGCATAGAGAGTCGAGAGGCTCTGCCTTTAATGTTTGCTTTCTAGTAAAACCATGACATTACTAATTGTTTATTGCTATATTTTTGTTACTTTAAAAGCAAAAAATATGAGGAAATTACTTTTACCTTGTCAATACATAGGCGAAACTTTTTTCATTTAGGCCTTCGTTTTTCATCAAATGAGAGGTATATTTCTAAAAGAAGATTTTTTATACAAAATTTGTAGACGGTTGAAACCGAGATATTGACGTTTAAATTTTTTTTCGACCATAAGGGTTAATGTAAATGATTTTTTTTAAATATTTATATAAAAATACTTCCTACAAAGACCTAATTGAGCATTAGAACAAAAAATAAGCATTTTTTTTCTATACGGTGGTATCAATAACTCGATTTTTTATGATAATGCCTTTTGCACAGTCCAATTTTGTATTATCTTCAGAATAAGGGTTAGCTTATCACGTACTTTCATCCCTGAAAAATTCAGCTTGTGAAACCGAAGTGGGAGGCAAAGTTAAAATAAGTTTTAATCTACACCATACTATATGGCTATTTCATTATTCTCGTTTTGTTTAAAAAATTATTTACATATATTTAAAAAGCTAAAATAATTCAACCTATTTTATTGCAACTGAACCCAAAAAATTTTGAATATTAGTTATATTAAATTTAATTAAATTAGATGTAATTTCACCAAATTAGATGTAATAATTTTCAACAAATTCCAAAACCTAGTGATGATAGATTGGAAGTGGTAACAGAGCTTACACCGGCATGGCAATTTACGTTATGTAGTATAAGCGCGCGCAGTTATTCATTGATAAAACTAAGTTTTCTTTCCGTAAAATTCTTCTCTCTATCCTTTCTCTTACTTCTCACCTTTCGTCGCCTCGCCCCGTGTCTAGAAATAGAATGTATCCATTGTCGAAGTAATGTTGGCACCGTGAATATTATATTTTTTCAATGACTGCTTATATCTCTGTTATCTCTGGGTCTCACTAAGGCATTATATGGGCGATTCTTGCATAACTGTGATTTTTTATGTCCTGTATTTTATTTATCGTTTAGCATAAGTTTTCCTCATCAAAAAGTTATTAATATTGTAAATTTAGAGGTATTTTACAACTGACATTATGAATTAGATCATAAACCTTCGCAATTTTTTTTTAAGCTGCACTTAAATATACTCGAAATGTCAGTACCGTGGCATGTCCGATTCTTATTTTTAAAATTAAATATATAAATTTCTATCAAAATTAATTTTTTAATATAAAATGTACCTCTTATAACTACAATCTAATGCATACTGCATTGAATTTTATTGCAATTTTATAACAATTTTTCGGTCTGTAAAAAAAAATAATCATTTATATGTCAGTACCGTGGAAATAATGTCAGTACCGCGGCATTAAACTTTTGAAATTTTATCACAGTTTTCGTTGTGTTGTAGCTGTAGTAAAACCATTTCTCAGGCTTAGTTTTGTGAATAAATAGAAAATAAAAACGCGCAGAACAAACGTTTTAAAACATTTTTAATGTTAGAAAAATTTAAATTGTAAAAATCGCAGTTACACGAGAATTACCCATATAATCCGACTTTGGTGAAAATTCTAAAAATTTTTGTATTTCTGGTTAATGATAATATAACAGTTATGTTATACCGCAGTCTAACATACATCGATATGTGGTAAATTAAACTATTATTAATTAGTATAAAAATTTAAAAATGTAAGAAGTAGGTAAAGGTGGCCAAATCTCACGAATTTTTCTCAGGGGGAGAGGAGATTTGTTTACAGAAGGCACAAATCTATGGAAATACACATTTCGATTTTTAATATTCTTATTGAGTAAAATGTATGTTCATCCTATTTGCATATTGATTAACAATCTAATTTTATATTTCATTTCTTCAATTTAAGGTATTATGATCAAAAACGTTCTGCCGCTAAGAAACAACAAAAAACCATAGAATCCCAAAGCAAAGCTTTAAAATCCGCCGAAAGAAAAACGAAACAAACGCTAAAAGAAGTACAAACAATTACTAATATCAATAAAGCTAGAAAAACGTACTGGTTTGAAAAATTTTTCTGGTTTATTAGTTCTGAAAACTATTTGGTAATTGCTGGGAGAGATCAACAACAAAACGAAATTATAGTAAAACGGTAATAATATATTCTGTAGAAAGATATATTTTTTAGCAATCTTAAATTAATGTAATAATGATAGTGGAATTACTTTATATTTTACATTTTTAGGTATATGAAACAAATGGATGCATATGTGCATGCAGATATTCATGGTGCCAGTAGCGTAGTAATTAAAAATCCTACGGGCAATCCTATTCCTCCGAAGACCCTAAATGAAGCAGGAACTATGGCTATATGCTACAGGTAAGTTGTATATATTGATTTGTAATACCTCTTCAAGCGCCATAATTAAAAAAAAACTACTTAATTATATGGATAAAAAAATTCAATTTAAATAATAACAATCTTGTCCAATCTAAGTAAAAAATAGGACACCCATAATATGTTTTAATTATAATCAGAATAGTACCAAGCCAAAGACAAGAATCTCACTGAGCTTAAGTAAACATGCGATAGTATTCCAGGCAGAAATAGCAGCAATACATCACTGCGGAAAAGAGGTATTAAGACAGAAGGTAAATGGAAAAACCATTGTCATATACTCAGACAGTCGAAAGTTCCATGCAGGTACACTCAAAGCTTGTGTGGGACTGTTTGGAAGCTCTAACAGAGCTGGATAGTCAAAATATACTAACCTTAGCCTGGGTACCAGGCCAGGCCACAGAGGACATAAGGGTAATGAAGAGGCTGATTTACTAGCCCGAGAAGGAGCCTCAAAGGTTCTTATTGGCCCAGAACCCTTCTGTGGCGTAACAAAAACATTTATCAGAATATGCACAAAGCAGTGGATGTTTAAAAAATCTCAGGAGTGGTGGAAAAGCTCACCAGGACAGAGACAGGCCAAAGAGTTCTTAAAAGGACCATCGCCCAAACTTACCGAGCGTCCTAATAAAACGAATACCCGCCTCCAAAGTCGAAAAACCTCATCATCAAAATAATATTTTAATACTGAAATTATAATTTTATTTTAAACATTGTTTTATTGAACTCTTTTATTTTTTATATATTTTATTTTTACTTACATATTTCTTAGATATATATTAAAAACCTTTTATATTAGAACTTATTTTAAATTAAAGTAGTTTACTTAAAACTAAAACTGTCAAATAATGGATTAATACATAAGAGAATTTGATATCCCAGAAATAGAAAATTTTGAACTAGATGATATATTTCAATGTAAGGAGGTATTAAAAATAAATGAAAACAATAAAAATTTTACAATAATTCACAATAATATACGCAGTATCAATAAAAATCTCGATGAATTTAAAATACTCTTGAACAATATGGAAAAGCCCGTAGATTGCATAGTACTCACAGAAACAAGAAAATTACCTGATCCAAACTTGTTTCAAATCCCAGGATATAATTTGATTTACAATGAAGGTAATCTTAATCAAAACGATGGTGTTATAGCGTATATCAATATAAAATACGATTTTCAATATAAAATAGTAAAAATACAAAATTTTAATGTTGTACAAGTTATTGTAAATTTTAATCGTCAAAATAAAATAAATATAACTGGTTGCTACAGACCGTCGGGTTCAAACGTACAAAATTTGACAATTTGAAGAATAATAGAAAAAAATTAAGAACCTTCAAGAAAACAATGCATAATTAGAAAAATCCATTAAATCAATAGAAAATCAAAATGAATGTTACTTAAAAGAAGTGAATGATCTAAGAAATATAATAGACAATATACAGAAATCAAATAGTAGAGTAGAAACAACACAACCACCAAAAATGGCAGAAGAGAAATGACGGACATGAAGAGGATACTTATTTTATCTGATGAAAGTGGAAAAGGAATAGATAAAGAACTTAGGCGCTGTTATAATGGAAATATAAGGTATAATATAATATATCAATATTGTATTTGCCCAACCAGAATTGCAAACGTTGCAGAATAGAGGTATGAGGATAATACTGAGCTATTCGAGATTGGAACCAATCAATTCCATGTTGAATGTGCTTCAGTGGTTGCTTGTTAAAAAATATTTGCTATTCTATTCCCTGCTATTTATATTTAAGATTAAATCAGGAATCTCCCCAGTATATTTACAAAATATTTTAAGTTATAATCAGGATGTTCATGAACACAATAAACGAAATAAGAAAAATTTTAGAGTTTATAAGGCCACGAAAAAATGTACACGAAATTCAGTGTTTTTTAAAGGTGTACAGGCTTTTAATAATTTGCCTGAAGATATTAAATGTTCCTTAAACGCAGCAATATTTAAAAGAAAACTGCGTGAGTACTTGCTGACAAATTGTCGTTTTTTTTTTCTTGTTCTTTTATTAAGTTTTGTATAGTTGACATGTAAGTGTACTGTATCTTATGTATTTTAAATGTATGTTGATTCTATACTTATGTATTTTTTATATTTTAATTGTGAAGATGTGTTGACATGTAAAAAATAGTTTTTTTGACTAAATAAACGATTTTATATAAGTCAGAATTAACATTTCATTTACTAATTAATATATTGTGTTTGAAATAGCAACAAAGGTAAAGTATTGAATTCTCGGAAAACCGAAAAATATTATTAATGAACATTTTTTAAAAGTTGCTTTTTTTGGCGTTTTCTAGCCATTTATGACATCTAAATCAAGGGCATATTTTTGTGTTATTTATTTGTATTAAATGATACCCTATCAAGACCGACATCACCTACACTCATCACATCTAACCAACCAATCTATTCCGTATCCTCAGTGAAATACCTAGGCCTTATTATTGATAATAAGCTGAACTTCAATGAACACACCCGCAGACAAAAAAAAATCAAAACCAGAGCCAAACATTTCCGCTCTTTAACATACAAAAAAGAAGGTATCAACATCTACACGGCCACTAAAATCTACAAAACAATTTGCAGACCTCTCCTGGAATACGGTCACACTATATTTAAACTGCCTAAAACCTGCATTAAAAAACATTCAGGTGGCCGAAACTTCTACACTAAGAATCATTACCAAGATGCGACATCCTGAAAACCCCACTCACCATCGAGCGAATAAATATCTTTACGAAAAAACTAAGATTCAGCCTATCCTGGAAAGAATTAGAAAACTATCAAAACATTTCTCGAAGAAACGAAACAATCACATGCTAATAAACATTTTTTCGATGCAACGACAAATTGGTCAAGCAAAGTTTAAATACCCAGTGAGATCAATAACAGAAATCTTAAACGGAATTTGCCGATGAACAATAATTAGTGACACATATTGTTTTTTAAGTATCTTAATATTCGTATTCATCTTACACATATAGCTTGTAAATCCTCATACATGCTATACAAATTGTACTGGCTGAAGGACCTAGGTCGATGGCCATTTGGTTGTAATATTTATAACCAATAAAGTGCTTTTATTATTATTATTATTATTATTATTATTATTATTATTATTTATTTGTATTAGATTTTGAACTCTCATTAAAATTTTCAGCGTTGCTTGGGAAGCCAAAGTTGTCACCAACGCATACTGGGTATGGGGAGAACAAGTCAGTAAAACAGCACCAACCGGAGAATACTTGACCACCGGTAGCTTCATGATCCGAGGCAAAAAACACTTCTTGCCACCTTCACATTTAGTACTCGGTTTAAGTTTCCTGTTCAGATTGGAGGATGGTAGTATTGAAAGGCATAAAGGCGAAAGAAAAGTACTAAATGCAAATGAAGATGATTCAATCAGTTTAGCTGATAGCGAAATGAGCAAAGATGAGGTTGAAGTGGAGATTTTAGATGAAAGTGATGGTAAGTTAAACAAAAATATTTTTATTGATGAAAGATTATCTATACAACTCAAATGTTATTGTTACCAATTTTTATTTTTTATTATTTTTATATTTTATTTTAATTCATCCAATGTCTCACTTCACTAAATCGAGTGGTATGAAGTAGTAAAAAACTTTATGTTACTTATTTTTCTTTCTTGTTCCTTTGCCTATGTCCATTCTGTTTGTACTTTTTAACAGACTTATTTTTTTTGTGTATGTTCAGCGATAATTCTTTAACACGGTGTCCGATTTCAATGATTTTTTTTTGTTATAAAGGGGGTACTTTAGAGGTGGTCCCATATCAATTTGGTTAAAATCTAATAATTTGGTCCATTATAAAATCCTCAAACTCTTAATTTTTTATATATATTTAGCGCTAATTCTTTCCCACCTTGTCTGATTTCTATGAATCTTTTTTTGTTATTAAAGGGGTACCTCAGGGGTGGTCCCTTACAAATTTGGTCAAGATGTGGTGATGGCACCTGCACGATTTTAAAGTCGGTTTTTTTAAAATTACTTTTATAACTTGTAAATCTATTCACAGTTCTTTTTTTTTGTAGTTTATTTGTCTCCATCATTCAATTAATAATCAAAAAAGAGTGTAGTTATTTGAAAAATTGGCAATGACGTCATATCGCGAGTAGTGATTACATCATATAAAATATACATATTTTAAAAATGAGCATCTAAAAAACAAACGACCTATCCAAGTATTTTTTTGTTTCTTGTCCAATGAAGCGAGAAATCTAGGATTCTTATTGTAGCGCTTATTTGTTTAAAACTTTTTTTATAATTTATTTAAACTAAATACTAATTAATTTATTTATACTAAAATACTTGGATCAGCACTGTTTATATTTCACACTTATAATTTAATTTATATAACAATTCGAATGTCTATCTTCAACTTCTGTCTATAAACTTTACTCCTCCGACAACACATAGCTTATTTATACAAAAATGCTGCGCACCGCACTTTTCTCGAAGAATTCTAGGTATTTTTCGATAAGTTCTAGCGTTCTACAGCAGTTGCTTCACAATGTTAGAAGGCGGGGCCATTTGCTTCGAAATATGAACAGCTCTGTTTAGAAGTTTATAGGTGTGTTATTATGAAAAATACAGTTGATTTTGTGATAAAACTATATAATATTTTTTGCTCTATTTTATATCTTTACCTACCAGATATTGTCGTGATTAGCTGATGATCGGTATACATATTATACATACATATATAATCATGTGCATTTTTATCAGAATCCAATTTTTATGTCATGCTTAAGTTCGCAATTTTTTGGGTTTTTTTTTATTTTTAGACTCCTTGTTTTATATCTTTTTTTTTGTTTTAGTTCTCTAGATATTTTTAGTTGTCTCATTATTTTTACCTTCTTATCTTTATGCTGCTGCAAGATCTTGAATGTTAAAATAAGCTGTTTATCAGCTTGTATTTTATTTTCTGTTAGGTTAACTTATAATGTTTTTTATAGAAGATGAATTAGTGAAAACCTCAGACGAAAATACTGTTAATATTGAGAAAACAGACGCAACAAATAATGTCGATGATGAAGACTCGTCTGATTCTGAAGATGAAAATAATACAAAATTTCCAGATACCCGGATTAAAATTCAACACTTTTCTGGAACCAAGTAAGTACATACAAGTTTTTTCTGTATAGGTAATACTGACGAATTAATTTTTTTTATATGTCTTTTTTTAGAAATATAATAACAGAATCATCTAAAGAATTTGAAGAAGAACAGAATGAAGAAAATGTAATTTATTTAGGAGATGGCAAACCTATTGTTATAAAACCGAGCCAGAATAATACAAGAAGTAGAGGATGTAGTGAATCGTCTTATAAGAAACAGAGAAGTATGGAAGAAAAAGGTTAATATATTTTTTTTTATTTGACAGAAGGGTTCCTCCTACATAATTAATTATTCAGAAATTCATAATATAGTTGTTTAAATGCACTTGAGAGACATTACTAAAGATGTCTGGCAAAATACGCTTACAAATAGGAGTTATTACAAAGTTTTCAAATCACAAATATTAACTAAATTGTATCAAAAACTGTTCAAAACTAAATTTCTGCTTAAAAATTTATTAACATTATTAAATCTACAAATAACAAAATGGCTATGGTTCTTTTAACCTTTATAACGTGTATCTGTAATAATATGAGGATAATTTTCATAATACCACATATTTTTAAATCATCTATAACAACAGCCTAGGATTATTTTACTGGCGCATGAGCAGATACAATTTTCATTTGTGGTGTTATAGTGCTTTGATTTCTATGTGTAATTTTTAATTTAATTCTTGATGAATTCAAACGACAATCATATGTACTTGTCAAATATGTAAAATCTTGTCGTTTATGTGAAAAATAAGATATTTATAAAATTCTGTTTGCATTTTAAATGTTGCTATAGTTAATTCATAACTCTTAGATTGTATTTATTGTGCATCCCTTTAAGCGTATATTCTAAATAGTTTTTTTTTTTATTCGTAAACGAACCTAATATTAACCTCTACTGAGTGCTTTGATAGCTTCAAAATTATTGAATGTATACAAATGTCAATTTTTAGTAGAAATGAAGAATGAATTGAAACAGCAACCAGCAAAAAGAGGTCAGAAGGGTAAATTAAAGAAAATTAAAGAAAAATATAAGGATCAAGATGAAGAAGAAAGAAAATTGAGAATGGAAATCTTACAGGTACGTTATCCAAATGTTTCCTTCGTTCATTAGATGTAACTGAATAGTTCATCCAACCCCGTGAGTGAAGTTTTAAGGGTTTAAATCATGTCAGTCCCTTGGTACATATATAGGCATTTGTTGCGCTTTGTTGCCTAAAAGTTTGGTGTGATTAATCTTAAAAGAAATGTCACTTTGATCATTAAACCAAAGTATCCATTTTTAATATCCGAAATTTTTCACCCAAAGTAATTAATAGCGATACCTACTTCAATCCTTGAGATGGGCGACTAAAATAGCACTTTTAGTCTACGAAGAGGAAAAATATAAGTTTTCAACTATTTATTTATTAAAATGAACAATCAATAAATAATAATTGTGTTAATAGTCTTCAGGAACTGCTAAAGATACTAAAAAAAATAAAAAGAACAAAGACTCGTCGGATAAAAGCAAAAAACCTGCTCCCAAAGCACCCAGAATTTTTACACCGAAGGAGCCAAATGAAGATAACATCGATGATGATGATACTGCAGTTCAAGCTGATATTGATATGATAGACGCTCTTACCGGCGTTCCTGTTACTGAAGATGAGTTATTATTTGCTGTTCCTGTCATTGCTCCTTATAATACTCTTGCTAATTATAAGTAAGTGGTTTTTTATCTAAAATCTAATAAAACTTAAAAATGCCCATAAACTTCCAATCATGATTCACATGTATATGTCAGTAAACAGTGCCGAATGCAAGCACTCATATAAAATAGTTTTTATTTTACCCAAATTGACTATTTAACCGCAATTTCCGAGTTAAAGATTAAAAAAAAAGATCGAATACCAATGCTTAGACTTTTCCCAAATGTTTCTGAAGTATGACTGATAATAATTGATAAAAATAAAAATAATTATAAAATATGAGGTAGATGTGGTCGATGAGGTCAAACCAAGAAAAAATCCAGTTACCAAGCGGTATTGCCAGATAACCGACCTAGTGAAAATACTTCATCTTTACAAATGTAATAAAAAGAGGAATGTAAGTGCCCAGAAAGTTCTGTTCATACTCTTCTATTCGGAATAAGCGATCATCCCCGCTTGCAAACGCTGAAAGAACGGAACTGTTTGACCACTTAACGTCATATTAAATTAAATGCAAAAACAAATGAAAGCATGCCATATAGGGAGGTGATTTTTGACAGTTAGTTAAAATTAAATTCAACTACATAACCTTTTATTTATAAAGTCACTTACAAATTCTCTCTGAATAATAATTAAAATGCTATGTTATTAATAAGAAAATACAACATTCTATTATGGAAGTTGAAAACGTTATCTAAAATACTATAAATGACAGTTTTGACTTCTTTTTTGGCACCCATATCGTTTTAAAAATAAAGAGAAGGGCTTATTGTTAGGATGGATCGCCTGATCATCCTGTACATGAACAATTTTGTTTTTTGAAGTTGTAGATACAATTTGTCAAGTTTGATTAATATTGTAATTTTTATATAGTTTTTATTCTGTATTAAAGTATTTGCAAAACTACAATCTTTTTGCCGCTGCAAACCTCAATACTTATTTATAACCTACAGTTCATCAAATTTCTAGAGGCTTTCGACGGCTAGACAGAGAAAGCACAACTGACAGGCATCCCGACGGATTTACGCAATGAAAGTACACTCTGCGCATCAAGTATTTCACTATTTCATTCAGACGTAAATGTCAGATGTAAATTTCGCTAAAACATTTCTTTTATTTTCGTTTGTGTTTTTTGCTCATTACAGTTTAATAGAACCTAAGTATGGAGTTTAATAGCAAATTAAGAGGCCGCGTCATTAACAGTCAATCTCGCGAAATAATAGCCAATGTTATAGAGTTTATGAGAAGAGAAGGAAACTTTAATTCACCTTCAATACCATTTAAAAATGTAAATGATCGTGTTGCTGCAGCCACAGGAGTATCTAAAAACACTGTCGTCCGCATTTCTGGAGAGAAAAAAGAATCGATAACCGTGAGATATCGGAATTTTCATCACCAAGAAAAACCATTAAAAAACCAAAAACAGTTAATGATATAGATGAAGCTGCACAAGAATCAAATTTTATTTTTTTATTATTAGATAGCTATTTTTGTTTCTGAGTTGTGTTCATTTACAGGCTCAATATTTTTCCGTTTCTCCTTTTTGATTTTATATGGGGTTTCAAGTTGTTTTTGACTTATTTCGACGTAAATCACAACAACACACTTTTTTAATAAAGCAAACAAGTGTTAAGAGGTATATGTACGTGTAAACTACAATTACAAAAAATTGATATGAAACCCATGAAACCACCAACAAAAATGTAAAGCTAGCTTCCGTACTAGAACATGGTGTCATTCGTCGAGATAATTTATCGTTTTGTTTAATAGATCAAGAAATGTAAATATTCCCCTGTTATTTTTTATAAAATTATAAGAGAAATAAATTTTTTTCTAAATAGTATAGTTTATTATTTTGTAGAAAAACAAAATTTCGAAAATTTTAGTAATGTTTCAGAAACAACCATTATTAATAATAGGTACCATTTTCCTTAATAAGGTAGAAATAAAATATAAACTATTTCCACGATTTACAAAGGCCTACAAAAAAATTATAGGTATTTTCGGCTATCCTATAAAATTTATATTTTCTGACTCAATTTCAAAAGGTTGAAGGAATTCCAAAACACCTTTTACGGCATAATAATTATTTTCAATTCTACATACTATCTTTAGCTGCTTTTAAAAACGTTCTAAGAAAGTCCAATCAGACCAATTTAATCCCTAAACTATTCCACACTTTTAAAATTTAATTACCTAAAAATATTAAAAACTATTTAAAATAACTTGTTTAGCAGACTGTACAATAGCTATCTTAGTCACACGTAGCGCGTTCTCTGTCTGGGCGTCGAACACCTCTAGAAATTTGATGAACTGTAAGATGGCATATGCATGTGATGTGATATTACTATATTGTAGATAATTATTGCTCAAATGGCTACCCTACATGTTTCGTTTTTTATTCAAGGTTTAAGGTTAAATTGACGCCTGGAACAGCAAGGAGAGGTAAAGCTGCAAAAACGGCCGTGGCCATGTTTCTAAAGGATCGGGCTATTAATCAACGAGAAAAGGACTTGTTAAAGGCAGTAAAAGATGAGCAACTTGCAAGAAATATACCAGGAAAAGTAAAACTTTCAGCACCTAAACTTCAAAATTTGAAAAAATAGTTTTATTGTATTTATTATGGTTATAAATTTAATAAAAATACTGTTTATATTATCTAATTTATTTGTTTGTCTACTATTATTTGCTGCTAACTCTTTTGGCTATGGATGGAACATGCCTCCCTTAAGATTAACATTATAATCCATGAACCTTTTATTAAAAAAAATATTCTGAAAAGGGAATTGTAATTGACGACGACCGCCCCCCCCCCCTATCCCGAAGCCTGGTTCAAAACACAGCACATTTTTATAGATTTAATACAGAATGGCGCTTATTTTTTTTAAATTCCTTTTAAAAATTTTCAAGATAAATACAAAAAAATTAGATTTCTCCACCCTAAGTTTTGTTATCGGACTAAAAATAGAGTATAGAATTTTGAGGTGTTTGGTTTACTCTTAAATGTTCAACAGTACAGAAATGTCCTACGGACCATTTTCGAGACTTTCACGGACCACAGGTTGGGAACCACCGGGCTAAAGATCTAATTTAGTCAGGTGACAAAAGAACATTTTTTGGTAATTAAATTATTTTAAACTTATAAGGCTGTAGGTAAAGAGAGACATAAGGCGCATTCAAATCTATCAGTTTTGTTCTATATACGGTGAAATATACAGGGCGAATCCAGAATTATTAACGGAGGAAAATGATAATGGTTGTAATTAGAAAGCAACATACTACACTCCGAAATTATACATTGTGCTGCCTTCTTCAGTTGATAAATGAACGCAGTTTTTTGATAGTGTTGACAAACATCTAGAAAATATCGCAATAATTTACATGTGATTCCAGATAGTGCCATAACTCAGTGTGAGTTTTATCATGAACCTAGTGTGGGTTTATAACAAATCTAGTGCGGATTAAATATACACAGTGAGAATATATAGGACACACTGAGTGTTCCAGATTTAGTGTAGAAATGCTAAACCACTAAAGTAAAGAAGAGACTGGTTTTTGAGGTGTTGTCAAACATATAGAAACATTTCATATTAAGGCCAAGAATATTTGTTCAAGTAATATTGGATGCATTACTGTATTCAGTTAATTATATCCAACCATTTGTAATAATTGTAAATATTTGCATTTTGTGGTTCTACTTTGAGTTTCCTTTTAAGACTTGAATCAAAAAGAAGAAGGTCCTCTTAATAAAACTAAAGGGCCATTGCTAAATAAAAATTTTCTTAAAATTTTGGGCAATGAACTCAATGTATGAGTACTGATCCGAGTTATTCAAAAAGGGGTAGTTACAAATAATAGCTTGTTTCCATATATCCCGAAATTGCTCTTTGATGGCGTCACCCAAAGTCAACCCGAAGACTAAGGCAACAGATACAAATACAGCTCTTAAATGATGTTAAAGTCTAAGTTAGGGTCTAGTTCTTGGTTGAGAGGAAGATGTTGAAGAGAAGTTAACAATTGTTGAACTACTAAGTGATGTTGCTTGTCTCCTATGCGATATACTCATTGGTAACATACTGAAACTAGAAGAAATCTTTTCATATTAGAATTTAAAAGTTACCTCATGGAAGTAATAGGGGAGACTAAGTTGAGACCGAAGCAAATCCGCCAAATCTATGAAACGTTGTGGTGAAGATTTGAAGCAGAAGCCTAAGTTAATGTACCACGTAAGACTTTAAACTTCAAAAACTTCCCGAGCAACAGAAGTACTCATGCCCAGGGGTACGCCAAGAGAAACCTTGGAAAAGACATCAAGATCAACCCAAATAGAGCTATTCACACAGCCGAGCTCGTCTTCTTTAGTGAAAGCAAATGTACTTGCAGGAAATCTAAGTAAACACTATATATTCTGGGGAGATGTCTCAGACGATTCGTTTGTAAGGTCTTGGCTCCCCGAGCAACAGAAGTACTCATGCCTAGGGGTACACCAAGAGAAACATTTGAAAAGACATCAACCCAAACAGAGCCATTTACACAGCAGAGCTCATCTTCATAAGTGAAAGCAAGTGTACTTGCAGCGAATCTAAATAAACACTATAGATTCTGGGGATATATCTCAGACGATCCGTTTGTAAGGTCTTAGATTAAAGGTTACTCTTTAAATATTATCTCTCCACCTATAAAAAATATGTTTATATTCCTACTGAACCTGTCAGTTTTTAATTGATCATCAACAGATCTTATCAGAAATAAATCGTCTACTTGAGATTAAGACCATCCGCTCTTATAAGCCTGTAAGGAACAATTTATATCCAAAACTTTCTTAGTAAAGAAATCAAATGGAAAATTTTATTGCAATTAAAAAAATCGGTAAAGTATTTTACCAGAACTTTCCTCGATATAGAATTTGTGAAAACAGAACTCCTAAGCACTTATACATCTTACGAACGTGACGAGGAACACCGAGCGGACGCGATGTGAGAGTTCGGGTCGGATCATGAGAAAGATCGAGAAAACCTTTTTTCACCGTTATTGAATGATACTGATTGACTGCCTTTAAAGTGGTCCAATTATACACACCAAAAGGACGCTTTTTATTATTTTCATTTAAGGGGGACCTATAAGATTCTTTTCCACGCTATTTTGAATTTTTAAAAACTTATCTAGGACTGTCTAAAATACACAGATAACCAATTTTAGTCGAAATCGGCTGACTTTTAAAAATAAATCTTTTTGTTTAAACTGCTCACCCTTTGTATAACTGACCGGAAGTATAACTGGTTTTGAGCCAGAAAGAAATCTTATTTGTATACAAAATTTCAAGTTTTTCTCTAAGGCCATTTTTAAGCTATCGCGCCAACAGACAGACGACGATAGACGCCGACAGACAGATCGACGGAATGGGGAAACATATTCTTTGTAATCTAGGGACCCTAAAACGTGAAAATTTGAAATAATCTTAGAGGGTGACTTTTTCACGATTACAACTTCAGCTCTTATCGAGGAAAATAAAAATATTAATAAGTTCATAGAAACAGTACAGTTTAAATTAAAAGATAAAGGTGTACAGTACCAGAATTAATTACGAGTTTATGCCAACTTTGGACATAAAAGAATATTACTCTAAAATTAATATCAAGATCTCAAGAAGAACTATTTAAGATTCTTTTTTAATGTTATTTTATAGATTCCAATCTTAGAGCTAAAGGATTGTGATTTGTAGTACATACCTAGATGATTTTTTACTATTGGAAAAATCTTTAGAATACTGTTGACAGAATATTAAGGATATTTCATCTATTTTATCATTAGGGTTTAATATTAACAGGAAGAAGAGTGAGCTCAGTTCCTCTAGCCTTAATTTCTTAGAGTTTCGTTTTAATTCGACACTAACGACCATGTATCTCATTGAAGATTTTAGGTTTGCTCAATTCGTTCCTAGGGATGTATTCCTGTTAATTAGAAATATTTCTAGACTAAAGACTGAGTGGGAAATAATTATTGAGGAATATTTTACATAAGTGCATGAGGTATGTCTCATGGATAAGAAATACCTTTATGCCATTGATATATTTACCTTAGATTGGTCAGAATATTACTTTTATAGTTTTCTGCCTTTTTTCTTTCAGTAATACAGAAAGTTATAAATGATTTTGAGTTTTACTCTTTTGTCATAAATAAACATGCCTCAGGTATGGTAGTAGTACCCGTTTGGACTACCAAACCTTGGTGGCACTCGTTTACGAGTGTTTTGAATTCCGAACTAATTAAATTCGACCCTGGTTACTTACTTTAATTATCTGTCGACAGGACTCCACACCCTTTGACAAGAAACCTGTCCCTGTGGGCAGGATTTTATCCAACAAGCTCCCGGACTCCAATACTACTGATGTTATGCTGCCATCTATTTCAACTTCTGCCTTAGAAGAATATATGGTTGGGTTGAAAAACTTTGGCGGAAGTTTTGTATGTCATGGAGAACAGACCCCTTCACAGCAAGGGTGACTCCAGGCCGAATTTGGGGGGGGGGGGTTGACATTACTAATAAAAGGTATATTTATTATAAAAAATGTAGTATCGGGAGGGCTACAGTCCCTTTGGTCCCCCTCATGAAGCCGCCCTTGCTTCACAAGTGATATCTTTATGATCTTTTAAATTTCTACTAGGATGATTCCGGGAGGGTTTAACATATTCAGAATGTTTATTTAAAGACGTTAGTGACCTAAGACCTTCTCTACCAATGTACGACTTAACTTGGAACCCATTAACAGTACTGAATAACTTCAGAGATTGGTGTTCTAATAAAGAAATACCTGGTACGGAATTATCAGAAAAATTAGTGATATTATTATTTACTGCGCATAGAAACCTTTAGCCTTATTAAATTAAAGTTTAGAGTATATTTTTGTAGAACTGATACAAATACATAGAGAGTTAGGTTATGTTATTACCTTTAAAATATGGTGCACAACTAGCTCATAAATGAGTATTACGTTTACTTATCTTCGAAGGGAGCGCAGTGTATAATCAAGATCGAACTTCACTTAAGGTAAGTTCATTTAATCTTATAATTTCTCTTGCTTTCTTTTATATGTGCCCAAATTTTCCAGAAGAACAGAATAAAATAAGGCTGTCTTTGTCTTTTTAGGAAGCTTTTGGGATTTCGATTTACTTGAAAATATGAATTACATGTAAACAATGCCTCTAAAATTCAAAATATTAATGTTGAACGAACATTGCTCACAAAATCCCCATTTATTAGCAATTCTTTTATATGAGCTAAAGTGCCTTTCTACGGACCACTCAGAGACTCTCACGGAGCACTGGTAGAGAGCCCCTCGATTACAGAATGATTTTGGTCAGGTGGCAAAAGAACTTTTTAAATTAAATAATTTTAAACTTGAATAACTCTTAAAAGGCTCTACATAGAAAAGAGTGGCTAGAAGTATTCAAATGTATCAGTTTTGTTCTATATTACGTAAGATATACAGGGAGATTCAAGAATTATTAAGCGAAAAAAATTGTAAGAAATTGCAAAATAGAAAGCAACAGACTACATTCCGAAATGTCTCTTGTTTTATTTTATATGTACCTAAATCTGTTTTTTTATAAGAATTTTGGGAGTTTGATTTAGTTGAAACTTAGCAACTCTTATAGAGAATGC